TTGTCTTATAACCTTTACCTTTAACATGTTTGTCTTATAACCTTTACCTTTAACATGTTTGTCTTATAACCTTTACCTTTAACATGTTTGTCTTATAACCTTTACCTTTAACATGCTTGTCTTATAACCTTTACCTTTAACATGCTTGTCTTATACCCTTTACCTTTAACATGCTTGTGTATGATAGTCTTTCTAATCTCCTGAGACAAGTCTTTCCTTGTCTTCCTCTGGTCCATGTAGAGTGTGGTCCACATCATGTCACCAAACAGCACGGTGAGTATCTGTAGCTTATATTCAGGCCCACTGACTGATTACAGGATTTTAGACACCTGTGATGATAATTAGTGACACACCTTGATTTAACATGACCCTGTGGTCACATTATTTTCAAGGGTTCCATCATTTCTGTCCAGTTCTGTTCTATGAGTTTTATTTTAAAACAAATTCTGTTGAAGCATGATTGAAAAGCAATGTCTGACTCATTTGTTCATTTTTATAGAATTTTGATTTATTATTACTTTTGTCAGATTCTAGTTATTTCTGTGACCATTGTGGGTTTTTCTTTAATTAAACAAGAGGTACCAACAATTTAGCCCTCATGTGTATATAGACCAAGTGCCCCCACCTTCTCTCTTTGTTAGGAACTGACGTCAGCAGAACCTTGTTGACCTGACCCTAACCAGCAGGAATTAATACTATTTGACAAAACATAATTTCAAAAATGACCAGACTAGCCATTTAATACAAATTTGCTTGCTGAAATAAAAATAATTTAATAAAACAAACTCTCCCTGGGCTGCCACCTTATCGTGGTGGAGAGGTTTGAGTGTTCCAATGATCCTAGGAGCTATGTTATCGGGGGCTTCATGCCCCCAGTAGGTTCACCCAAGGCAAACAGGTCCTAGATGAGGGATCAGACAAAGTGCAGCCCACAGACCCCTATGATGAACACAATAAATGGATTCAGTGTTCCCTCGCCCGGACACGGGTCACCGGGGCTCCACTATGGAGCCAGGCCTGGAGGTGGGGCACGATGGTGAGCGCCTGGTGGCCAAGCTTTCACCCATGGAGCCCGGTCGGGCACAGCCCAAAGAGAAGACGTGGGTCCCCCTTCCCATGGGCTCACCACCTGTGGGAGGGGCCGTAGGGGTCGGGTGAATTGTGTGTTGGGCAGTGGTCGAAGGTGAGGAACTTGGTGGTCCGATCCTCGGCTACAGAAGCTGGCTCTAGGGATGTGGAATGTCTCCTCTCTGGTGCGGAAGGAGCCTGAGCTGGTGTGTGAGGTTGAGAGGTTCTGACTAGATATAGTTGGACTCACCTCGACACACCGCTCTGGCTCTGGAACCAGTCTCCTCCAGAGGGGTTGGACACTCTTCCACTCTGGAGTTGTTCATGCTGAGAGGTGCAGAGTAGGAGTGGGCATACTTATTGCCCCCATCTTGGTGCCTGTATGTTGGGGTTCACCCTGGTGAATGAGAGGGTAGCCTCCCTCTGCCTACGTGTGGGGGACAGGTCCTGACTGTTATTTGTGCCTATGAGCCTAACATCAGTTCAGATTACCACCCTTTCTGGAGTCCTTGGAGGGGGTGCTGGAGAGCGCTCCTAACAGGGACTCCCTCGTTCTGCTGGGGGACTTCAACGCTCARGTGGYTAATGACAGTGAGACCTGGAGAGGTGTGGTTGGGATGAACGGCTCCCCCGATCTGAACCCGAGTGGTGTTTTGGTATTGGACTTCTGTGCTCTTCATGGATTGTCCATAACAAACACCATGTTCAAGCATAAGGGTGTCCATATGTGCTCTTGGCACCAGGACACCCTAGGCCGCAGTTCAATGATTGACTTTGTTGTCGTTTCATCTGATCTGCAGCCATGTTTTGGACACTCGGGTGAAGAGAGGGGCGGAGCTGTCAACTGACCACTACCTGGTGGTGAGTTGGCTCCAGTGGTGGGTGAGGGTGCCGGTCAGACCTGGCAGACCCAAATGTATAGTGAGGGTCTGCTGGGAACGTCTGGCAGAGTCTCCCATCAGACGAAGCTTCAACTCACACCTCCAGGGGAACTTCGAACACGTTCCGGGGGAGGTGAGGGACATTGAGTCCCAGTGGGCCATGTTCTGTACCTCCATTGTCGAGGCGGCTTACCTGAGCTGTGGCCGTAAGGTTGTCGGTGCCTGTCTTGGCGGAAACCCTCGAACCCGTTGGTGGACACCGGTGGTGAGGGATGCTGTCAGGCTGAAGAATGAGTCCTATCGGGTCTTTTTGGCCTGTGGGACTCAGGAAGCAGCTGATAGGTATCAGCAGTCCAAGCGAATTGCAGCTCGGGTGGTCGCTGATGCAAAAACTCAGGCGTGGGAGGAGTTTGGAGAGGCCATTGAAAAAGACTTCCGTACGGCTTTGGGGCGATTCTGATCCACCATCTGGCGTCTCTTGGGGGGGGGGGGGGGGTTCACTACCAACACTATTTATGGTGAGGATGGTGCGCTGCTGACCTCAACTCTGGACGTTGTGGGTCGGTGGGTGGAATTCTTCGAAGACCTCCTCAATCCTACTGACACGTCTTCCCATGAGGAAGCAGAGCCTGAGGACCCTGGGTCGGATTCTCCAATCTCTGGTGCCGAGGTCACCGATGTGGTTAAAAAGCTCCTCGGTGGCAGGGTGCCAGGGGTGGATGAGATTCGCCCGGAGTTCCTTAAGGCTCTGGATGTTGTGGGGTTGCATTGGTTGACACGACTCTACAATATCGCATGGACATCGGGGACAGTTCCCCTGGATTGGCAGACCGGGGTGGTGGTCCCCCATTTAAAAAGGGAGACCGCAGAGTGTGTTCCAAATATAGGGGGATCACACTTCTGAGCCTCCCTGGTAAGGTCTATTCAGGGGTTCTGGAGAGGAGGGTCCATGGGATAGTCAAATCTTAGATTCAGGAAGAGCAGTGTGGTTTTCGTCCTGGTTGTGGAACAGCGGACCAGCTCTACACCCTCAGCAGGGTCTTGGAGGGTGCACGGGAGTTCACCCAACCAGTCTACATGTGTTTTGTGGACTTGGAGAAGGCGTTCGACCGTGTCCCTCAGGGACTCCTGTGGGGGGTACTCGGGGAGTATGGGGTACCAGGCCTGTTGATACGGGCTGTTAGGTCCCTGTAGGACTGGTGCCAGAGCTTGGTCCACAATGCCGGTAGTAACTTGGACTTGTTTCTAGTCAGGGTTGGACTCCACCAAGGTTGCTCTTTGTCACCAATTCTGTTCATAACTTTTATGGACAGAATTTCTAGGAGCAGCCAAGGTGTTGAGGGGATCCTTTTTGGTGGCCTTAGGATCACATCTCTGCTTTTTGTGGATGATGTGGTCCTATTGGCTTCATCAGATCCTGATCTCCAGCTCCCACTGGAGCAGTTCACAGCTGACTGTGAAGCTGCCAGGATGAGAATCAGTGCCTCCAAATCCAAGACCATGGTCTTGAGCCAGAAACCAGTAGCGTGCCATCTCCGGATCAGGGAGGAGGTCCTGCCCCAAGTGGAGGAGTTTAAGTATCTCAGGGTCTTATTCATGAATGAGGGAAGAATGGAGTGGGGGATTAACAGGTGGATTGGTGCTGTGTCTGCAATGATGTGGGTGTTGTACCGGTCTGTCATGGTGAAGAGAGCTGAGCCAGAAGGTGAAGCTCTCAGTTTACCAGTGGGTCTACGTTCCTACCCTCATCTATGGTCAGGAGCTTTGGGTAGTGACTGAAAGAAGGAGATCACAGATACAAGCAGCTGAAATGAGTTTCCTCTGCAGGGTGTCTGGGCTCTCCCTTAGAGATAGCCTGAGAAGCTCAGTCATCCAGGAGGGACTCAGAGTAGAGCCGCTGCTCCTCCACGTCCAGAGGAGCCAGTTGAGGTGGTTCATCTGGTTAGGATGCCTCCTGGACTCCTCCCTGGTGAGGTGTTCTGGACACGTCCCACTGGGAGGAGACCCAGAGAAAGACCCAGGACACGCTGGAGGGACTATGTTTCTCAGCCTGGGAACACCTTGGGATTCCCCCAGAGGAGCTGGTCCAAGTGTCTGGAAGTCTGGGTCTCTCTGCTTAGGCTGCTGCCCCCGAGACCTGACTCCAGATAAGAGGAAGAAAACGGATGGACGGACAAACTAAATGGATGGTTTCTTGTATTTGGATGAACATTGTTTTAACAATTTAGAATCTGAACTTTGACACACTTTTATATAAGTATTTTCAATTCTAATATCATGATCTTAATGATAAAAACTGGTCCTTGTTCGGTTCACACCTGTTTTAGTATCCAACTATGCAGTTTCTGCTCTCTGAACATCAACATTAAACCTGTGAGGAGCTTGTTCAGATCTGTTTTATGGCTCACAGCACAACAGGCTGAGACTTGCTCATCAGAACTGAAAAACAACCACTCAGCATTTTTATCTCTCAATTTCCATTAGTAGTTTTAAAAGCAATATGTTTATCTTTTTACATAACAGAACACTAAATACCCATTTATTCTTCTTTTCCTTCTGTTTATGGGCCTTGAAGCTTGCGGTACTAACCATCCAGAGCTGACCATAGGAAGTGAAAATCCAATCCTCACCATCAGATTCTGAACTCTGCTTCTTCTTGGTGCTGATTTGTAACTGTGTTTTGTGTCTTATGTGATGCTTTCTCTTTAGCCTTTTTGGCTCTTCAGGACTTTTTGATAGCAGCGGGGGCAATCATCATTATGCTGGACTTTAGAGGGTAATACCGTCCCCTCCAGGTCTTCCAAAAGATGCCTTGCTTCCTCTGATGACGCTGCTTTGGAGGAGGGCTCTGGAAGTATCGACCATTTAAGTTGGAGCGACCACAGTTACTGAACCACCAACCACCTGGAAAAAAAGAGTTGTTTTTTTCTTTTGGTTGAGCTGCTGTAATTTTGTTAAAGTGTCTTCAGAGCCTTGTTGCTTACCAGACAGGTGTTTGGCACAGTTGATGTTAACTTTGTGATCGTTGTCCCAGTCACGAGTAGTAAAAGGCAAACCAAGGACAGCATCTGCTCCCAGGGAACTCTGAAGTGTGCTGAAAGTGTCAGACTGCTGGATCAGGAGGGAGTAGTTGGTTTCCAGCCCTCCCAGTTCAAATGGAAGTTGAACAGATGCTTTGTTGTCTTCCCAGTCTGAGAGTTCAATGTTGAGGATGTAGCCACCATCTTTAGCAACAGTGTAGATGTTCTCCAGACCCAACCAGAATTCTCCTGGAAAAACAATGAACGAATATTGAAAAATGATGCAAAGCTCATAATCCTGACATTCACTGCTGCCTAAACTTTGGGTCTTTTTTAAATTCATCGAGTGCAGTAGAAAGTAAAATGGAGTCCTAGGACAACTAATCTGACCCTGAGCTGACCTGCCAGGTAGTAAGAGAGGGATAAAGCTCTGATAAGTATTTACCATTCAGGCTGCCAAAGCCTTTCACATAAGCCTCCCACAGCTGGTCAAAGTCCACCGAGCCATCATGGCGCCTCTGGATGACTGTCCATCCTCCATCTTGTAGAGAGGTAACAGACAGGTTCATTAGCAACTCTAAATCCCAGTTYCAAAACAAATTAAGACATTGTGTTAAATGCAAAATAACATTTCATTTAATAATTAGCAAGTTTCTTATATCCCTAATGTTTTTTCACAATGGATTATAGTAAARGATACATTTTTAAACTAAGAAATTGTACTATTAAAAATAGGGTTGTTTTTGATTTTAATGGCAGCAGCAGATCTCAAAGTTGGGGACACAGGCAACAAGAGATTGTAAAAATAAGTGGTATCACTCAGAAATAACTAGATCATATAGCTAACGGAGTTAATCTGCCAACAGGCCAGTAAAAGATTGAGAATAAAAATTACAGTTCATAGTGTCAAAGATTGTAAGAGTCTGAAAACATCTTTGAGCCTAAAGGACAATGATGACATTAAACACTGGTTGTCCCTGATCATCGGACCCTCAGAGACCACTGCTCTGATTCAGTTCTGACCATCACTGCATGGACAAATTATTCTCTGTAAAGGTTTTTTATTCTTTTAACCTCTATCCCTGTACTGTTGAGTTTTAAATTAGCCCTCTAGGTGGTGCTCCACTTTTACAAGTTATGACGTAAAAAGAAAATAAAGAAAAAATTAACAAACAAAATGTTGGACTACTGAATGTAAGTTTGTAAGTTTGACAAAAAAACAAAACAAAACAAAAC